TTTAGAGTTTAAGGTTTTAGGATTTAAGGTGCTTCTTCGGCTTTAGGTTGGCCTTGGCTTTAGGGCCTGCAGGGATTATGCCAGTGGGTGTATATACACAGATTTGTATATATATATATACACATGCATAAAGGGTATATATAGGGTGTATATAAATATGTATGTAGATACGTACATATTTATTTAGGGTTGGCCTTGGCTTCAGGACCTTAGGGGGCTACGCTAGGCTTTGGAGTTCAGAGTTGAGTCGAGCGATTCACGGTTGGAGGTATTGGGGCCCGGGGAAGTAGGCGATAGGTCTGAAGAGGCTCCAAGGTGTAAGAAGTAGCCCTAAATAAACAGAAACTGATCTCTTAAAGGTTTAGGGTCTAGGGTCTGGGGTATGGACAAGGCCAAAATGAAGCTGACCAAGACCCGCAATCTGCGAACCCTGCAGATAGGCATGAAGTCTCAACAGCTGAGCCCAGAAAGCTGAAATTCTACACCGCGTTCCTGCGCATACAGACCAAGACATAAACCAATACTCAGTACTTCACAGAACCCAATTGTAACGGCAAAATGGAAAGAGACGACCCTAGACCATAAGCCCGCTAAAAGTAGACTCAATACTGATTCGTAACTAGAACGATGGAGAACCAAATGGAAAAGAACATGGAAACTTAAAGCATGACGTGCGCGTTCACTCAAACCCTTGGATGTCTAACAAGCTTAAAGCATATGGATTCCTAAATACTCTTGCGCAGTCAGCACATGCAGGCAAAATTCGTCCAACCTGTCAAACCCAGCCTTCTTCAGTGGCCCCTGGTCGTCCCTAGCTTAGGTGGACCCCCCACCCTGTAATAGTCAATATAAGGGATACTAAGGACTATATTAGGGTCCTGTTATATTCCTATTATACCACTATTACAGGGTGGGGGGGGGTCCTCCTAATCCCTAGCCCTCAAAACTTTCTGCCCAAAAAGCATCCTCGGCTGTTTATTAAGGGGGGCTCATACGGAGAATTATATGTTCAAAGTAAAAACCATTCCTTAAGCCAAGAGCAAGTTGCCACGAGACTGCCGATGTTGGTGGCCGCCTGCGTCTCGCGCGGCGGCGCCGTGAAGGCAATAATCTGGTTGCGGCCCACGCACTCCATTATCTCCTTTGAGCTCCCCTTCTGAAGGGGTTATATAGGGAAATGGAAAAGAAAATGGAAACTATAGGGATTAAAGGGGGCTGTATATGGTTTATATAGGGATTATAGGGTATATATTGGGGTTATATAAGGGAAATGGAAAAGAAGATGGAAACTATTATGTCACTTAGGATTTAGGGGGGAAAATGGGTTGTAGAGATTGACTAATTCAAGGGGATATTACCCGTCCCCTTCTCCACGAGGCATGGGCAGGTTTGCCAGCAATGCAGTGCAACAACAGTCTGTAGGATCGGTAGTAACAAATGTGACGTTGAAGCATGACCACAAGAATAACAACCTCGTCACGAAGTGGGCAGAGGGTTAAATATCCCAGACGTAGGGAAAGTTTTGGGCGCGCCGGTGCAAGCTCCCTCTAGCAGTATAGTAATAACAGTTATTATAGTAATTAGGGTTTAGGGTTTAGGGTTTAGGGTTAATAGCAATAGTAATGGAAATAATCATAGTAGTGATATTGATAGTAATAGCTTTAGAGACCTTACTCGCTGAGCAAGTCTCCAAAGCATCCACTGCATTGAGGTCATGCATCTCCACATTCCTGGGTTGCTGTTTTTAAGGAACTTGAATTAAGTTACTAAAACGGGCATATATACTTATTAATATGGCTTCCTCAATATAGAAACTCAAAATTAAGTTTCTTAACAGCAGCTCAGATTCACACCGCAGCTGGTAAGCCCATGTGCGAAGAGCTGTGCCAAACGCTCGCTCTCACCAAAGTGGCCTAAAGGTTTCACGCCGAGATTTTCCCAAAACTGTAGCGCTGGGGACACTAGGGATACACAGTTATCGCCATCAGATACTAGGGGGCCCTCTTTCGGAGTTCCTGTAGTCGTTTGGAGGTTTTCATATATAGCAGGCTCCAATATATGAATCCCAACATACTACATTCATTGTTACATGGCACCCCCAAACCCCACACCCCGTACCCCTAAATTTCGTAAATCACCTGCTAACTTTGGAAATTCCAGGCAGGCAAGGTCTTACAGCAGAAATAAACATCCACAACATCCACAACTAAAATATACCTATAGGGTTTAGGGTTTAGGGATTAAGCTTCAGGGCTTGTGGTTTGGGTTTTTTTGGAGATATTGTCCCCATAAGGGAGAATCAAGAGGAAAAGAAAACGGAAAATACTATGAGGTTTGGGGATGAGAAAATTAGGGGCCTCGGTTAAATTCTAAGGCCACACGGTTTCGGGTCTAGGGATTAGGGCTTCTGCTCTCCCCCTTTGGAACATCCCTTTGCGCTAAACCCTACACTATATCCTAGCCTACCCAAATTGCTTGGCTATCATGTGGCTCACCCAGAAGACTGCCACGCATGGACCGATCTTGGCGGTAGCCTGCGCGCGAAGTGGGAGGGCTGAAGGAGTTTGGGGTTTCCCAGAGTTCAGCATACGATTTGGGGATTCCAAGAAGGAGGAATATAATATTTTGGGGTCTATATTGGGTTTTAAGTTTTTGGGGAAACTATCATTTTTCGTGATTCGTGCCAGGAGGCTTGCAAAAGATTAGGGGTTCACGGCTTTCTGGTTTATAATTTGTTCACATCCAGGAACCCAAAAGCCAGACGCCCGTTAACAAGGCATAGTCCTTGAAGGCTATTACAAATCCACATGACATTCAGTGTGCCTAAAGCGAGGCCCCGACAAGTGTCAGGGTCTGGTCGGGGCCACTCACAACGGCCATTGCCGGCTGACTTGGGTCATGTAAGATTTGTCTGGGGCATTGTATAGGGGTTACTACAGGGATCCATTACCCTATTCTCATCTTAGCACAAACAAGATTCAGCCCTGAATGCTAAGCTCTAAGAAGCGGTGTGGTGCCCCCTCTGATCCATCCCAGGGCCTTCTCACTCCACGAGCGATAGTACTCAACGAAGGTGTCCTTGGTACTAGGTAGGCATTCTCTGGCTTCATCAACATTTGCTCGCATGAAACTTCCTATTCCTGCTGCTTATCCGTTGCCTTTTTCATGGGGCTAGTATGCCCCCTCCCTTCTATGTGGGCCTTCACAAGTTAGGGACCTTGTTTCATTAAGGCTTATTAGGGCTAATTAGGCCTTACTGAAAAGTGGACCAGTCACCAAGTTCTGCGAGAGCATCGGACCATGGCCGGTAGCCACAACCTCCACATTGGTTCCACATGGAGATACGATTAAGCAGCTAAGTAACTTCGTAACATTTCCGTAGCAGCAACCCAGAACAAGGCTCCCAGGGTTCAGGCTTCTGCGCTCACCTCACATCCAGTTGTTGACCCCGATTTTGAAGACTGAAATTTCCTGAAATCTGAAGACCTCAAATACAAAACCCAAGCCCCAGAAGCCTCAAAGGCGTAGTTGCTGCTCCGTTCTCCGGCCTAAAGCAGGCTAAGCCTCAAATTCTGGGATTTCATAGACCGCTCAAGGGTCGGAGGATAAACGCTCAGCTACTACGGGGCTTGGAAACCCTCAAGATCGAGATCTGCATAAACTCTAAAACCCCACTCCCTGCGGTCTGTAGTGTCACTGAGGACATCGGACCTGACAGTTGCTGGTTGCATCGCGCTTCATTACTCCTAATTAAACCCTAAACCCCTAAACCCCTGAACCCCGAATCCTAAACCCTAAATGCTAAGCCCTAAAACCTTAACCTCTAAGCAACCCTAAACCTTAAAAACTGAGCCTTCAGATCGAAATCTTGGATCTTCTTCAGGGCTGTGAGTACCGAGCGCGCGTTGGGTTTCATCCTTGGCACACTTCAGATCTTGGGGGATCACTGTTCGGGGGGAATAGAGGGTTGAGGGTATAGCGTGGTATAGTAGAGTATAGTATGGTGTAAAGTCTCTAGTATACATTTTATAGTATAATATAGACTTAAGGATTCATGTGAAGTTCTACGTAATGGGGGGCTGTAGGTAGGATAACTATGACTTTGACTATCGAGAGCAATATTCACCCTATTTACAGCTGGCCTCCGACTAGGCTTCTGTGTGGGGGAAGCATCCCTTAATAGATTGTGATCTATATTGGGGTCCCCCAACTGCCCTTTAGGAGTTTCCAGAAACAGGGGTCCCCGCTCTACACTCCAATAGGCGGCCCGGATTCTTTTGGAAGCGTATTCCTTCATGACTTGGGTGAACTTGAAAAGCCCATAAAACAATGAAATAGCCAAGCATCAGGCAGTCGTAGTAGGTCGCATAATGCGGCAGTAGCTCCTTGACGCCTTCAACGTCTTCCGGCTCATCGGAGCAGTAATGCATGCCAAAGGCATCACCTTGCTTAAGCTGCTTCTGAGTTTGGGATTTGGGATTTGGGGTTTAGGGTATAGGGTTTAAGGTTTAGGGGTTTAGGGCTTGAGGGGTTTGAGCTCTGGGGTTAAGCCCCTCTCCAAAATAGTAAGCCGAGGATTGCATACAAGAGGGGTTCAGCAAAGAAAGCAACAGCAGACAAATCACAACAGCTTATCCGCTCTGCTCTCAGTTGCTGCAGTGAACTTGAAAACCCCTCCATATTGAATGGAACGTATCACAGACTCCATACTGGAAGAGTGATTGACATGTTGCTTTTGATGATTGGGTTGTAGCATCATTGGACTAAAAAATGTATTCAACAGTGAAGCAGATCACAGGTGAAAAGAATCCCGGTCTTGTGGTCGAAGGTGAACATTGTGTCTGGCCAGTGGAGGTTCGGCGCGATCACAAACCTCAACTGAACAGCGCTTTATGACGGACGAGCCACATAAGAATGTCCTGCTATCTTGAATTAACATACCCCCAAGAAGACATACTGATATACTCTTACTCTATGTGGGGTACTATAGGATGCTCAAATAAATGCCACTCAACTGGCATCCCTGTTTAAAGGCCGGAGGCGGATGTTTACTAGAGCTTTGGGTGACATCAGTAGAGTTTTCGGCTTGGGTTTAGGGTTTAGGGTTGGGTTATCAAAATCCTCTTGTCATACCGTTCACGGGCCTGAATACGACCCCAAACCCCAACCACTACGGTTTAGGAGTTTAGGGTCAAGTCTTTGAGTGTCCATTTCATCTTCCATGTTCATGTCCATTTGATTCTCCAGTATTGGGGGTAAGAGGGGTTCCTTAATAAACCCAACCCCCAGGCCCTAAACCCAAAACCCAAGTCTTTGAACCTGTCGTACTAACCAAAGCAGGTATCCTGGGCTGGGAACTAAACATGCAAGCTTTTTTTCAGTACAGGATCCCCATCGCGTAGGTCCTCTGGATGCACATTTTAATTAGCTTTTGTATGCCTGAAAAGGCCCCCAACTACCCGCCACAGTTCCTGAGTCTTTGCAATCAGGCCCCCCAAAGGTTCACCAAGTCGGAAACACGCCACAAATCCCTAGCCCCTCCAAAATCGCTGTGCAACCTTTCATTCCAAGCTTGCGCTGGTCTGAAATTTCAAAGTAGTACAGCTATTACGAGCTATGATTAACTACTATTACACACTCATTATTACTATGACCATTACTATAGATAAGGATTAACATTAACAGCTGGCAAAGGAACTCTAGGTTGTGGCCGCCTCCCAGATCCAGTTGGACGCCTGAGGGACGAGAAGCAAATGGGCATTTCTCACTTTTAGGGTTTAAGCTCAAATCCGCTAGGCTCGAAACATACCGTCATAGTGAAGCTGGACTAGGCTTCTGTAGGTGCAAAACTTCGGAACGTTACGTACAGGCTATTTACCTGAAGCCGAGCTACCCTCCGTTCCCTCAGCCTCTAGGGCAATTACAACCCCAATAGCACTATCACCGTACTAGCAGCATATTAGGGGACTTAGGGGCTTACAATAATTCATAAATACTGTCATAAAGTCACTTCATAATTGGGTTCTAATGACCCTGAACCCTCAAGTATACACGCCTATAAGCCCCTCCACAATGCAATCCAAGTCTCCATTCTGCACGACTCTGTTCTTAAAGGGCTGGAACACCAAGTTCTGCAAGTAGGCGATGCCTGAGCAAAGGGGTGGAGCTAGATACATCCAGAAGGTTATATAGGGAATTCTATAGGGCTTAGGGCCTAGGGGGATTCTATTAAAGATTACTATGAGGTGCTAAAGACATGAAGATGCTACCCAGCGCCTCCACTCCTCCTACTATGAAAAACGACCCGCCTGACATTCTGTGCCCAGTTTTTGTTGCATCCCACAATGGGGACCTGTAATATCACGGGGTATGAGATTTTATTGAGCTTAAGGGAAAAACCCTCCAGGTGCTCCTAGGGCTCAGGGTTTGGGGGTACCAATGTCATCAGAATTCCTGAACATGAAATCCCCCATATGTCCAGGTAGGTATAGGCACATTGGGGCTTAGGCATCTATCATAGTAATGATTCATGGTAAGAAACTGCGGAATCTTACCTAGCTACAGCTTGGATTTTTCCAGCTTTCACATGTCATTAAGACTTGGCTTCTTCAAATGGGTTTAGGGTTTAGGGACCCTTATGGTGGTACGTTGGGACCCTGTGAAAGCAATAAGAAAAATCTCGCACCTGTCTCGTGAGCCCTGAAACCTCAAACATGTTGAAGCCAAGATGCACATCTTGGAGCCGATCACCTGGGAAAAATTAGGGTTATATTGGGGTTATATTAGGGTTATATTAGGGCTATAATGGGGTGATATTGGGGTTATATTAGGGTTATATTAAGGCTATAATGGGGTAATATTGGGGTTATATTAGGGCAAATTTGGACCACCAGCACTATATTCCTTATTTTGGGGGCCACCACAAAGGGACCCACATTTGTGTAAAACTCTCAACCTACTGTAAAGCCCAAGCTATCCCCCATACCAGCTTCAAAGGAACTCTAAAGTTACCCAACACCAGCTTCAAAGAAACCCTTAACCCTAAACCCTACCCCTAAACCCTAAACCCTAAACCCTAAACCCTACTAATATAGGCAAGTATTTGGACCCTAATTTGAGACACCGCCACCTCAAGCTTCTCATTACCTTGTGCGGCTGCAAGGTCAAGGACTTTTCCAATGAGGCCGGAGTGGTCCGGCTCCTTAGCAGAGGCTATTCTCCCTAACTGGGGATTTCCCAAAATCAAGGGTACCTGTTTGTGGATTAGGTAGGCATAAATAGGGAGATGTAGTCACATAGCGTTTAGGGATTAGGGCTTAGGGTTTCCAACAATTGAGCGTACGTTTTTGCGGTTTCCGATACGAAGGATTGTAGTATTTTGGGCTCTATAGTGGGGTCCCTTGTTAAAAAAAACTATCAAGTGGTATTCTACTTCTAAGGGGAGCCTATAGGTGAGAAAGTTATGGTCCCGGCTTGGGTCCCTTGTATACAGTATTATGGTCTAGTGAATAAGCACCCAACAAAGGACTAGCCCCTAAACCCTACGCATGTGCACGTGGTCCCGAAGAGTAGGATTTTTTGGAACATCACCGTTGTGCGAGCCCACTTGAATTTGTTGCGCTTGAGTGCTCGAGCGTCCTTCAGGTGGGGTTTTGGAGCAGAGGCGCCAAGCATAGGCTCAGTAGTGTTTAAAGCTTCCATGGCTTCTAGCGAGGGTCGGCAGTCTTGGCACGAAACAGATCCAGCGATGTACAGCAGATGGCAGCATGAAAAGTGGGTCCATCATTAGGCCAGGATCAAACGGGAGGAGAAAATTGTGTCATCCTTGAGGCTTGATTGAACAGGTTAAGAGTCAAGAGCCTTGCTCTGCGACCATCTGCTGCGAGGTGTGCTTCGGAAGCGAGGGTGAGTGACGACGTGTGGAGCACCCTACCCAGCAGGCTTGCGGATTCTGACCGGGCCGGCGAGGAGTATGCGCGGGCAAGGTTGAGGAATACTTCATCGGCTCTAACACAGAAGGCTGATCCAACTTGATTCATTCTTCTGTTTAAACATCATCGTGTACCAGCCATGTAGCAGTTCAGATAGTTTAGACTTTTGCACAACTCTTCCTGATCGGCAATTACTACTATGTGCAGCACCCACACACATTAAGGATGCATGTGGAGCGTCGGAGACGTCACGTTGGACATTCAGCAATGTCGTTCTCCTCAGCCCTCTGGGGGATGTATCAGGCGGCGGTTTGAGTGATGCAGGCAGGTGGGACGGGGGGCTGAGTGACACTGCTCACATCACTGACTTCGCTCGTGAAGCCTTGGCCATCCCCCGCAAAGCGGGGGTGCGGAAGTGCACGTGGCCCCGAAAAGTAGGAATTTTTGGAACATCACCCTTGTGCGAGCCCACTTGAACTTGTTGCGCTTGAGTGCTCGAGAGTCCTTCAGGTGGGGTTTTGGAGCAGAGGCGCCAAGCATAGGCTCCGTAGTGTTTAAAGCTTCCATGGCTTCCAGCGAGGGTCGGCAGTCTTGGCGCGAAACCGATCAGCGATGTACGCCACATGGCAGCATGAAAAGTGGGTCCATCATCAGGCCAGGATCAAACGGGAGGAGCCAATTGCGTCATCCTTGAGGCTGGAACAAACCCGAAATCATCCGAAATCCTAAACCCTGTTGCACGATGTTGGGTAGGTGTGGGGCTTATCACCCAACATGATCCAGCCGCCGCAGGCGCGGTGGGAGGTTCCATTTTGACAGGGAAGGCATAAGAGAGAGTTTTCGAAGATGCGGGTATACAGGAAACATGCCGTGTTGATCGGGTTGTACAGAGCTGTCTGGACAAATCTTCCGGGTTACACACTGAACCCTAAACCCTACACGACTGCCTACATCCCGAACCCTAAACCCTAATCACTAAACCCGAAACCTTAGCCCTAAACCCTACACCCTAAACCCTAAACCGGGATGTCTACGGCTCAAGGTCTGGGTCTCCATAATGCCGTGAGCCGCCCACGAAGCAAGTCAGGACCCTGCAAGCCCTACAACTTTTTCCTTCCACATTATATAAAACGCCCCACCCCCTACTATTGAATATTCGCACAATTGTGCTCTTACTATAATCTGTTTGGAATAGTATATTTTAGGAGGGTGGGGGTTTTCCATGTTATATAGGGAGAGGGCACGACCATATGACCATGACGGGGTCCTGAATTTGGCGGACCAGCCAAAATCCCGGTGCTAGCAAGAACTCAAAAAAATTAGGTTCGCATATGATGCGGACAAACTGGGTACACCTCAAGGGTCCTCAAGGCAAACATGAATCGACAATCATGTTTCCAGCTTACGCAGTTCGCGGCAGGGTGAGGGGACGCCGAACCTACTGCACTACGGACGCTCATACTCGAAAATCCAGTCAGCCCTACTACCGTCCATCCCGTCTGGACTATCGTACGGGCTTAGAGACAGTGGCAAAGGGCGGCTGCAGCTTGATGTGATACGAACATGCAGGACTACCCCAAACCTTCACAATTTTTGCGGGTGTGGAGCCCATGTCTGCGAATCCTCTCCAAAACGAAGACTCTGAAATACAAAGCGGCTGGTAAAAACTTGTGTTACAACAGCCGGGGCACTGTGTGGGATACAATCAGGTAGTCCAAGCTACCCAGATCCAGCTCCTTCCGGAGTGCAGCAGTATACAGCTCCTCGAACTTTTCATGCGACGTGTCGATCAGTGCCGTCTTCCTGGGTTGCTGTCAAGGGGCTGAAGCTGCCCATAAAATTGATGCGTGGTAGAAAAAGACGGTACCATGATACGGTTATATAATGTACCAAACAAAAAAGGTTTGAATGGTAAACAACTAGTACTTCATTAACAGCAAGCCAGCTTCTCGGCGCCCTTGATGATGTAGGAGTTGTAGGTTGTCCCACGCTCCAAGCGGAACTCGATGTCAAAACGGTCACGATCCCAATCCAGTGACCGGATAGTACTGGTGTTCTCGGCCACCTCTTCGATGGACATCGTCTGCAGCCGGTACTCCTGGATGTTCTATCTTGAATCAGCACGAGTATCACGACTTTGGTAAGATGCCACACATGGGCTACGTAAGCGTGGATTGGATATGGGTCAAACTTGGTAGCAACAGTCTCGCGCATACAGCGTTCCTGGCACCCTAGCCCCCAGCCACCCTAAACCCTAATCATGAACCCTAAACCCCTCCTGTACTAATATAACATGGACACCCAAGGTAGTCTGTGAAGGAAGCAAACTGCCATACCCTCAACCCGAAAATACAATGGATTTCAGGCCCCTTACCATAAAAAAAAGTGAATATTCATAGTGTAGAACCCGTGTGTAATATAATCCTCTTATAACTCTTAAAAATTAGATCGTGAAATGTACTCCAAAACCGCATTGCAATTAAAGAGGCCCGCGCGGTGCATTCCCTGGGTACATCTGCGTATGTATTAAGAGCGGTTTCCATTTCATTCTGTGCCCTTATAAGCCTTACACCTAACATCTCCCTACTTAGTCGCGGTATACCTCCAAGTAGCTCCCGGCCTAAGTGTTTTCTTCGGCCCCTAAAGCAGCAACACCGCGTTCTCCTTGCCAGGAGTAAGGCCCGTCCAGCTCGCAACCTCAGACATCTCCACATCCTTGGCTGTCAAGTTAGAGAAAGTTGTATAGGAGTGTAGGACACAATATAGGGGTTGAACAAGGGTAAATACGGATATCCATCTATTAAGATTGTATAACTCGGGCCTAGATCAATAGAACAGGCTCTGAGGATATCTGATACCGCGCATTGGATTTCTGAAAGAATCGCGTTGGAGATCGGTGACCCTCACGCCATCCATATCGGCAACTATAATGGACTGCTGGATTTTACCAGATTACAACTTGGGCTTTGGCCTGCCTAGCACCTGTGTGAAAGGGTTGTATGCGCATGGTCACATTACTGAAATATCATCTAGGGGAGTACTGCAAGAGGAAGGAAAATTCGGGGACCTGGTCTTGACTATCATGAACTCTCGAAATCCCGAGTCCCGGTATAGATTTGTTTGCCATAACTTATAGATCTCCTTTCTGGTGCCGCTGTACGCAGTCCTATACAAACTCCAAAGCTTGCTGAAGCTGGGCTTCACCTGAAACCCTGACAGCTGCGTGAACTGCAAGCTTGAAGTGGGGGACCGCAAAACAGGATCCTGCACTCTCCTGGAAACCTGAAGAAGGGCATATTTACTACCAACCCTTACTTCCGTGGATTCAATCTAACCCCTACCAAGAAAGCGCGTGTAACCTCTCCAGGGTCTCTGCGCTGTAGTATCAGTGGAGCGCGGTTTAGGGTTACGGCCAATGGTGGTTGATGACGAGCTAGACGAGTTTGCACATCTTGGGGGGGGGGGGCAATCGCGGGGAAACTCTAATCCCTATGCACCCCTACACTTAGTTTTCATCTTCTTTTCCATTTGATTCTCCATTCTTGGGAATAATGTCCGCAAATCCCCAAATACCAGTTTCCATTTTCTTTTCATTCCCCCCTAAACCCTAAACCCTATGTTCAGGACATCCCGAGAACGTGTTGCCAAAACCCAGCGTCTCGCTCCTCTCCTCCTCGCGCCGCGAGCGCCGTGCGAGCACTTTTCTGGGACGCCCCAGTCCTCCTGGGGATTTCTCAAAATTGGTTCATGGTTTAGGGATGTAGGGTTTAGGGATGAGGGTTTAGGGTTTAATTTAAGGTTTAGGGTGGGGGGGCCCTTGGGACCCTACGGGCACTATACAGAGGGATCCGTCCTTACTAGGGATTCTATGGTGATCACTTTCGGACACTTCTTCCTCGCTTGAGCAGCGCCAGTCACTAGGATCCACTTGGTTTGTATCTTAGCGGGATGGAGTTTGTTCGGCCTCAACACTGCCATGTAGAATTGGAGCAATTGAATTGAATTTGAAGATGGAGTTTCAGACGAGCAGAGCAGTAGAGATGAAAGTCTTCATCAGAAACATAGGGACCCGTTAAAGAGATAGTCTCGCTGATTTGCACCTGTTTGCTGCAGAATAGTAATACCTACCCTCCCCAACATGGAAACTGAAAAACGGGAATGCAAAGATGCCTGTCCTTTTCAAGTGCAGCTATATGACATATCACTATCAACCTTAGCCTTAATCCTCCAGGACCACCAACACATAATGAAGGGGCCTGAAACATGACCAATATCACTCTGTCTACTTGAGGCACCATACCACAATTATACAGGAAATCTAAGCCCAAAATATTGTCAAATAGCCTAAAGCCACCTATATGACCCCAGTACCTTTTTTGTTTTCCGTCTTTACCATCTGAATCTCAGTTATCGCCTTAATCTCTGACCATTGCTGGGGTAACTGCCTAGGCTCCTACATTACAATCCCTAAGTCCTATAAAAACCGTCTTTCCACTTCATTGTCGATTTTCTTTTCCAGTTGATTCTACGATATTGCAACCATTTAGGCTCCACCTTTTGGATCATAAAGCCTTAAATGCCCAAGACCCTGTTATAGAAATTCCTAGAAACCCCCAGTTGCCTTTCAAGTAAAAAAGACACTTCTTTAGAATTTCCCTACATGAGCCACGGTCGAAGTTCCATGTTTGGCTGCTGGACATGGGCGAGGGGTTATCGTTTTTCATTGTCGCCCCTATCATGTTTCCATTATTTTCACCTTTTCGAAGGAATGACTACTTAACAGGTCTTAAGCAGCACGACTCGCTGCATCATGGATATCTTTTTTTTTTGTCATGCGTCCCCTGTCGTTTTACAGGGTTTTCAGCGTTAGCCGTTGAAGTCATGTCCACCCAAGACATGATCTAATGGTTGGAAATCTTCACTGTCGCTCATATACTCCTACATATCCATGTACAGCTACACCCGTAGAATCCCTAAGACCAGCTAAACCCTAAACCATATAATGCCTTCTACAGTATCCGAGGCTCCCCGTGGCACCGGCAAAGGCGGCCCCTCGCGACCGCGAGGCAGAGGGTGTTGGCAAGGCCTTGACTTGATTTCTCCATTCTTTGGGGTTTAGGGTTTAGAGCTTGGGGTTAAAGGTTCAGGGTTTAAGGTTTAGGGTCCAGGGTTTAAGGTTTAGGGTTTATGGGTTCCTTTTAAGGCGGGTTCATAGGAGTATCATGATATCCAGGGTTCCCTTTAAAACGGTTACGCAGGATCTTTGGGGTTTCCCTTTCGAAGGCGTATACGGGGATATTCAGCCTTCCCTTTTAAAGGCTTATACAGAGATATTCAGGGTCCCTTAAAAGGCTCGGCTCCCTTTGCGAGGGTCATGGGGATATATACAGGTCTTTAAGGTTCCCTTAGACGGGCTGCACTCGTCACATAGCTTTTCTTGTAATCAGTATGTCATCCTCTCGCTAGTATGAAAACCCCCAACCACCCTCATGGTAAATATTCTCCGAATATATGAGGGAATCTTGGGAATATCTATAATTATAGTAGGGAGGGAGGTTGCAATAAATGGGGAAGGGGATGAACACTGAGATAATTGAAAACAAATATGTTCGCACCCGGCAAGTCCAGAAGCCTCACAATCCTTGGGGCCGCTGAAGGAATTGCATGGCCCCCCTCAAGGATTCTACAAATATTGTTCTGATAAACTTTCATGCGTGAGTTCCGAAAATATGGGCTCCCTTTTTGGAAATCTCTGCAAAAATTTCGATGGTGTTTGGAGCATATCCTGGGCCTATGGAAATATCCATGTGGAGGTCCATGTCAAGGTAGGCCCGCAAGCACAATATCCCGGTCCTGGGTTTTTTCCCCATCCTAGGTATCTCGCGAATCACTCACTGGTATCTCACTAGTATACCGTCGTCCACAATGGTGGCTGGAACTTTGGGTGAAAACCAGGCTTTATGCCTTGAACATTTCCTAGCCTAGTGGCCTAGTGCTCCTTGGGTCAAACTAAAATCCTGCACATCTTCTCATCTCCCATCCTTATACAAACATTTCTACAAGCCTATATGTGCCGCTGAAAGCAGCCTCAAAAAACATGGGTAAATGGTGGATAAGGATATACCCAGCGCATGCCTCCCGGCAATCAACTGGACAGGTGAGGATATCCCCAACAAGCTTCAGATCCCCAAATTCATACATACATCTCTGTACCTCAAATCCTGCACTCACTCGTCGAAAGAAACCCAGAAAGCCTAGACCCTAACTCCTAAACCTTAACCCTACGGCCCAGAGGTCAAGGGGCAGCCATAGCAGCTGCCTTTGCCGGCACTGCCTCCGTGAGGCTCCAGCCGAGAAGGCCGGAGCTTTCCATCACAGACCTGGATAGGGTTTAGGGTTCACAGTTTAGGATTTATAGGTTCACGGTTTAGGGTTTATAGGGTTTAGGGTTTAGAGTTTAGGGGTCTAGAAGGGTCGACAAACTACTGGAGGGGAGTTTCCAATGGGCGGGAGTTTATGTAAAGGGGGAAATAAGGGGGTATATAGGGACCATAGGGAGTTATGTAATGGGTATTTAAGTCTTATGTAAGGTCTCTCTACATGGTAACCCCTCTCCTGTAATAGCTCAGGGTTTACGACTTTACAGTTACAGAAATAGGGTTGAGGGTTTAGGGAATAGCAGCAACACGAAAAGTAACAGCAACCATACTAGCAATAGCAATACTATCAGAATTGCTGTGGGTGATTCTTGGAGGGGGTTCATAGAGGACTAGTGTCTAGGATGCGGTTCTGCTTTCCATGGGGGGCACAGTTTGAAGGAGCTAGGGCTTGCCGGGTTTTGGTGATTCAGGCTTGAAGGTTGAGGGTTCAAGGTGGCTCTTTGGAGGCCACGGCGGCAGGCGACTGGAGGCGTTGAGGGTGTTTTGCGGATAGATTCACAAGAGCTTTCACGGAAAGCTTTTAGGTTTGGGGATCAGGGTGTCGGGCTGGGGTGTTGGGATTTGGGGCGCGAGGTCGATTCTTCGGGTTGGATGGGAATTTCAGGGATTCCTAAACCCTACACCCTACATCTTCGAGAGCCCTGAGGTGTTTGGGTCTGAGACATTGGCTTGATAGCTTGCTGAATCCACACTTAACCTCTTTCCAACGTGGCCTGGGGGCCTTCGGGCGCTTGTTGCCGGGTGGTGTTCCCGATCAAGGCTTTTTTCGGTGGGCTTATGAGCCCGAACCCAGTGGATTCATTTGGCCCCACGAGTATGCCAAACATTTCCGATACACTGGCCTACAAGACACCAAGCGCCAGACTCCAAACCCGCAAAACCATGAACCCTACACTCCAATTTCCCAGCTGCCTGATGTCAGTCTTCACGCTGTCGTCCAAGACCTTGCCGCATGTCACCTCTGCATAGACCTGCAGGGAATGTGGCGTCGTCTTGTGCTTACCTGTTTGGTCAGAGAACTTGGAACATATACTAAAACCCTACATAGTAAGCCACGGACTAACTCAAGTAATCCCTGCTATTGATCTATTACGAAAAGAATTCCCCGGACCAGCTTGTGATTTCCCGCGTCCAGCACTGAGAGCGTGTGGCATTCGAGATAAGCCTTTTCTGTGCAGAGGTTGGCATCTACTTGGAGGGTCGATCAAAGGGCCTTCGTAAATAGACTTATACCCTCAATATGCCGTATGATAACCCGAGATATCCCCACTTTCACCTGCCTACTAACTAAATCATCGTGACCCGCCAACCCTACAATAAACCTAAACCATCCTAAACCCTAGAAGATACGGCAGCTTCTATATGTTTCCACTTCTCCATGTTTAATCTACTTTCTAATCCCCAAAGTTGAACATCCGGTGGGGGAAAGCCACATGACCAGAGCTTACTGGCAAAACAACCATGCTGCCCCCCCTCTACTTCATCAACTCCCCAACAGAAAAATGAAACCAGCTTGAACATCTCCGTACTGATTCTGCACACACACATGGTAACTTTACATCTCTGATGTGGGAGGTTCTCAAGATGAACCCTACATGGCCCTGCCTAAGCGGAACTCCTATATCCTCCTCCTACTCCCCGCTCATTCCTTTTTGGCTTTGAGAGTGCCGCATATTCATTCTGAGAAGCCCACTGATTCCTAAACCCTTGTTGCAATTGCAAGAGGCATGGCTTCCTTCCAGCACAAGGCATCCGTTTTTGGATTTTGCCTTCTTGTGAGCTGCTGCATGTGCCAGCTCTGAAAAGCCTGATTTGGGCTGAAAGGTTTATGGTTCTGAATTTTTGGGTTTGGGGGGTTAACGTTAGGATCTTTCAGAACAATGGTTGGATCATGCTGGATCCTTGTTCTAGAAAATCGAAAAATCAGTTCACATCCAAATCTTCTCCCGAAGAGCGCATCCGACATGTAGCCGGTAACGGGTCACGAGTAGGTCCCCTAAACAACAACATGCAGGCATCATGCAGGCTGCAACAGCAGCAAAATACAAAACAATGACGAAGCAATGCTCGGCAAAAAGACCCTCACCACGCTGGCAACACACATTTGGCGCGCTAAGAGTCACGAACTTGGTCGGAAATTTACAAGATGCTTATGTGAATCATCGTGTTGAGAAAAGTTTACAGTTTCCAACTTGGATATAGAATTACCTGTAAGTTCCCTGCAGGTAGAAATCATATTCATGGAAAATACCACATGTCCCCACAACACCTTTCAAGGGACCAAAAGCCTTTCATATAAAACCATTTGACCATGTTCTGAAAGCCTAGGCCTAGGTCGGCCAAAGAACTTTGACCCTCCGGCGTGAGATTCAAGAGGAAGTCCTGTAGTCCGGGACTTTTCTCTTCGTCTGCAGCGTCCTTTTGGGCATCCATCCTGAGCTAAGATGGATATGGAGCCCAGTTGCCAACTTCCGTAAGCCACAAAAATCTATGTTTGTTCATGGGCTATAGGAGCCCCAACAAAATTGTATACCCACCCAGCTTCTGCGTGAGACAGTCAGAGGTAATGTGGGAATTCCACAGAAAAGATCTTGAAATAATGCCTGCACAACCCCGACCCTCCAAGCCCTCCACCCCGCCCCACCCAACACCCCCAAAGCCCCGGGTTTAGGGTTTAGGTTTTAGGGACCCCCCCAACGCCCCCAAAGCCACACGGGTTAGGGACCCCCCAACACCCGCAAAGCCACCCAGGCGCATGGCTCTCAGAGGCTCACCTGGAAGCACGGCCAGGCGGAACTCATCGAAGGTGACAAGGCCATCGCCATAGGGATCCACGATCTCAACTGCCTGCCACTCCATGGGCTATTCGCAAAATTATGGGCCGCTTTGGGTTATAGATTGTATTACTGCACTCAATATTTAGGGGTACCAAAATGAGACCCTAATTTTGGGAACCCCCGTATTGGTTCTGAAAGGGGAAGAAGTATGGCGGCTGTTTGGCAGGTTCTGGGGGGATTATGATCGGGATCCAAGATTTCCCCTGCCTGCGAAGGATATGTTTGGGGTCCATGTTGGGTCTCGTTTAGTTCCAATAGGGTTTGGGAGGGACTAAAATAGGGGATTCTATACCCTCCCCCAGGCTAACATGGGAGATGCTATGGCCCCCTTCTTCAAGACCAGTAGTGTTTTGAAGCCTTTCTAGGGGCGTGTTTGAGCTTCCACGCTGGCTCGGAGCCATGTAGGGATTAGCGCAAGGATCCACCATCTCAGTCCGCGAAGAGCTTTGGGGGCAACCAGAGGGCAAATTTAGGGTTTAGGGCTTAGGGTTGAGGATTTTGTACTAGAGTTGTAAAGAGGAAAGGTTATTGCGGAATGATATTGGTTACTATTCAGGGTCCTACATTATGGTTGCACCGCTTGCGACTGATTGGTGCTTAAGGGGGAGCGGGGGTGAAATCCTATAACAACCCCTACATGCCCTTACAAGCCTTCATTTGCTCCTACACTCCCCCGCCCAACCCCCAACCTTAAGCACCAGTAAGGCAAAGGGTTGCTGCGTGGTTTAGGGTCTAGGACGTTACACGCCTGTACTACTCGTACTGCCGATCTTTGACCGTCACCACCAGCAGTAGCACCAGCATTACTACACAAAGGTCGGAATCAGGAACCTATACCATACAGATAAATGTATGCGTGCAAAAATGGTACAGAAACATGGCAACACATAGCATGGCAAAATAGTACAGCATTGCATGAAACCCGAAAAGATAACTATAAACATAAAGTATGAGAGTAACATACATGAATACAGGCTAATATTGGCCATGATCTTCTCTTGCTGGCGCCTGCGGCGACTAGCTTCGTTAAGCTCCTAGATGGGAGGTCCCGCACCCCCAATATACGATAGTGGCTGGCTGCGGGTTAAGGGGTACTGCAGTCCTCAGCATTGGAATGAATGACCAGAAAGGAACTCCTAATGCCAGAAGGCGCTCAGAGGTTGTGTCCCACTTTTCGAGAATGCTCTGCAAAAGGGTTTGCATTTTAAGTGTTAGGGTCCAGGGGCCCAGGAGGTGACCATATATCGTTGCTTTAGTGTAGCGTTCGCAAGTGTGTGGCAGGAGTGTCGCAAGCCGGCTGGACCGTCGAGGGTCGCCATCTGTCTAACTGTGGTCACTTTTGAGTGGAGATGAGTGGAGTGAGATGGAAAGGAGTATATATAGGAGAGGAGAAAGAGAAGAAAGGGAGGAGAGGGAAGAGAGAAATTGAGAGACAAATGAGAGAGGAGAGTCCTTTATCTGTTGGGGGCCTCAAATACAAGTTCCGCGAACTTTGTTGCGCATGTGTTTGCATTTGGGTTCGTGGCTCCCATGGGGCTTTATAAGGTATATCCCTTCGGAGGACCCCCCACCCTGTAATAGTGGTATAATAGCAATATACGAGGACCCTAATCTAATCCCTATTATCCCGCCCTATAGTCACTATTACTGGGTGGGGGGTCCACCTAACATATCCCAGACAAGGTAGGGCATCCAGGGTCCAGGCACCTGAAAACAACATCAGCACAAGGCACGACAAATCCCTCGACACCCCAGCGACACGTGAAGGCAATCTTGTAACCACTACAGTACTTGGAGGTTCAGAGCAATTATGACCCAATTGTACCTGGCTCTTGAAACCTACTTATATCAATATTGCGTTGCTTGGGGGGGAGGTTCTACGTAAATTGTAGGTGCCAGGGTTGTAATGACCTTGAACCTCCAAGTGCCACTTTTAAGGGTGGGACATACAGGTCTAAGGAACCCACCAAGCAGCAAAGCACGTAGTAATGGTCCGCAAAAAGGAACATGGAAGTGGCAAGCCTCATGCTGCC